ACTACTGTTAGCATATAATAATAAAATATATTAAATAAATAATATTAGACTCCTAAATAAGCTCAAATTATTAAGTAATATAGGAATCATAATCCTTATCCTAACACAACTGCTCTAGATCGAGTATATATACTTCAAATTTACCCTAAGTACGAGTTAATTCACAATTTACTACACCTTAAATTCTGATAGCTTAACAACCTGCTTTTGCTAATGGTGGCCAAGAAGATGCAAATGTGGCCAGACCTGATGGTATTCTTAAGAAGCAAATAAACGATGATTACCAATATAACCAAAATCTAAAAGATGTGTCCGATCCTGCAATGCATGAAGATAGTATTGCTAAGGGAAAATATGAAGTCATTTCTGCTTCATTACCTATAGGATTCAAGTCCGGAGGATGCAAAATAATGGCCCTTTTTGGATATGATGTGGCCGATGTAAGTGTTATAGAGGGTGAATAGGTTTTCTCTTAATCAGATTATTAACTGTAGTTTCATTTTATATGTGGCAAAAATTTAGAAGTTAAGAAGTCTGATTGTAAACTCAAAAAAATTTAGATCCAAATTCTATCATTTTGGTCGTAGCGTATTGAATTTGGACACTTCTTTCTAAATTTCAATTAAATTTTAAGGAACTAAATTTTGCTTTTAATTTTGAATTTGAACTGAAAAATTATTCAAGCTTAAACAAGTTAAGCCAAAATTATAATCTTCTCTCCTTTCTTTTCCCCGAAAATCTTGGAATTTATGGCCTTCAATGAATAAATTTAAAAATTTGTCTTTCAATTTGGCTACAAAATTCATTTTATTTTTTGGCACATATTATGTAAAATGTCCCCCCAATGTCATAAAGTGTCATAATAGAAATATGGAAGGTTTGAATTTTTATCAAAGTGATGCCCCAATCCATGCAATTAGGCCATTAATGTATTTTTTAGGACTGCCTCTAGCGTCAGCTATTGTTCCCATGATTAATAATGAAATCAACACTTATTAAGGGCATTTTAGAGAGAAAAGTTCAGTTAACTAATTTTCTTAATCCAATAGTTTTTTTAGTTTTCTCCAAATAAAGAGAATATAAAGAGTTTTTTTTTATTCATTTTTAAACCTTAATTTGAATTTGGGGTATAATTATGACATAGCTGCTTAATTTTTTTGTGATTTATTAATATTTTACTCTTTTTTTTTTTTACAAAAAATGTTATGTAATAGCAAACATAAGAATATTTTAAATTGCTTTTCTTGTAAATGTGAACGTAAATTTATAAAATGATACATTAACCTCTAAAAGCTAGTTAAACACTATGTTACCGAATACTATAAAAAATAGCATTAAAACACTAAAAACTAATTAAAAAGTTGTTGCCAAATACGGGCCTAAATCTATATCATAATTTCCAAATATAACTATTTAACTCCTAAACTTTTACTTAATAATCAATTTTGTTTAAATTTGAACTAATTCAAGACTTAATTTTGAGTGTATGATTAATTTGTGCCATTTTTGACAAAAAATAAAAAGTATTTAAAATCAAAAATTAGAAAACCTAAAAACATGTGGAAGTTGGAAACCGTTTGCTTTTTCTCCTTTTTCTTCTTCATATTCCAAGGAATAAATTTTTAAAAAAAATTTTAAATCCTTTTATCATTTTAAAATTTTATTTTTTAATCAAAAATAGGATAAATTGATTTTAAACTCAAAATTTATGTTCTAATTTGATCTAAATATTAATTTACATGAAATTGAACATTTTGTGAAAAATCAAGAATCAAATTGAGTATTTATAGTAACTTTCTTTTTTTATCCGATTCCTTAAATTTATTTATGGAATGCATCATATATTATATTTATAATTCTTTCTTTTTATGTTTATTTATTGTTGACATATGCAAATATATAATTGCAACATTTTGAGGAAGCAAAGTCGTGATTAGAGAATTACATATATAAAATAAAGACCAAAAAGCTTTTAATGGAGCTATTTATTTTATTCATATAAGACAAATGTCAATTTTTTTAACATTTTTTATATTATCAATTTTTTACTTTCAATTAGTGTTTTAGCGTTTTAATAATTAGACTTTCAGAAAGAAAATTTTAATTAATAAAATGTTTAAGTCATTATAATGTCATTTTCTAGAAACTAAACACTCTTTTTATTAAAAAAAAAAAAAGAAAAAAGAATGACGAGTGTGTAAATTAGTCAAACATCATAAATTATTAAAAGAATAATTATATTTCACACGACATCAGGGGTGGAGTTTACTAGTATGCGCTGGCAGCAGGTATTTTCTAATTCGCATTATTAGGGATATATACGTAATCGCAATTGAACTGTTAAGGCAAGAACAATGAGAAGAAACGTTATATTTCTACCTAAAAAAATAAATAAATAAAAACATAGAATTAAAATGAATGCATTACTTCACTAAAATTTTTTGATACGTGGTCAGGTCCACTATAAATCAAACCAATGAAAATATAAAATTTTTAAAGATTATTCACATTTTTATCCTTTTTTTTCCCCTAAATGGTAAAAAGTGTTTTTATTTCAAAAGTAATTATTCTTTATTAGTTTATTCCACGAATATATCTATATATGAGGCTAATCAATGTAAAATGGTTTTGAAAATATTCACAATTTGAAAGTTGAGTGTAATTAGCAAATAATATAGGACTTTTTTTTGTTCAGTTATTCATATTAGCTGATAGTTGGTAGCTGGTGACTAATAGCTTTTAGATGATGAATATTGTGCTAAATTTTTAATAGCAATTACTGTTAAATATACAATCCATTAAGGAAATAATTATTTTTATACACCATGATGTATTATATATATAATTTTTTAAATTTTAAGGTGAATATATTATTTTTATTTTAATGTGTGATGCAAAATTATTTTTGAAAAATATTTTATGCTTGACTGGTTTATAATTGATAGTAAAAGGAAAAAAATATTTGTTTATAAATTTTTGATAGTAAAAGAAAAGAATATTTGTTCATAAATTTACATTTGAACACAAGAGAATATTAAAAATTAAAAATATTGATACCTAAAATATTTAAAATTTTCAATTCTATTTATAAAATATTGAACTTTTCAATTTTTACTCTTTTAAATTGTGAAAATTTAGGTTTAGTGAAATAATTTTTTTTTTCTTTTTCATACTGAGTGTAATTCTATAGTTATAAGTGAAAATTCTAAGTGAATATTTCAATGTCCTTTTTTTATTATTTTAATATAATTGTTAATCAAACAAATATTTTTACTGAACACTTTTGCTTTTAACTGCTATTTAAGCAGCTAATATCTAACCGCTAATAGCTACTAAAATAACTAATAATTATTAAAACATTTAACAACTACTAGAGCAACTAAATTTGCCAAACAAACCCTAGGGAGTGTTCAGCAGTAGCGTTTAGTGTTTTGAACTAGTTAAAACACTATTTCTCTAAATTATTATGTTGAGTAACTTGATATATAGAGTAGTTTTCAAAGGTCTATGGAGTATTTTGCAAATGTTATCTTATCTAACTTTTAACGTTTCACTCTTTTTACTAATTTTTTTTTTACAACTTTATCCTTATCCTTAATTAATATAAAACCCTTCTATTATCACATTACATGTTTAATTATCTATATGTTTGGCTTATTTATATTTGATAGTAAAAGAAAAAAAAAATTTATTAATATATATATATTTAAATTCAAACAAATATTAAAAATTAAAAATGTTGATCCGCTAAAATATTCAAAATTTCCCATTTTATTTATAAAATAGTGAACTTTTCTATTTTTGCTCCCTTAAATTTTAAAAATTTAGTTATAGTAAAATCATTTTTTATAATGAATTTAATTGAAAATTCTAAGTGAATATTTCAATATCCTTTTTTGTTATTTTAAATTATTGTCAATCAAACGGCTGTTTTCATCGAATGTTTTCGCTTTCAACCAGTATTTAAATAATTACAACTAGCCACTAACATCTACCAACTAACAGCTATTAGAAGAGTTAATATTGTCGAATATGCTCTTAACCTTTTTATAAAATACTATCTTAACCTTTAAAAACTAATTCAAACGCTACGTTATCAAATACTATAAAAATATAGCCGTTTAAGCTACTTAAAAAGTTGTTGATTAAGATAACTTAAAATAATGTTAGAATGAATCAAGTATATCAATACTAGTTATATTCATTCCAATACAATTTTAAAATTTTATGATCATAAGCTTTTTCTGTTTGCATATTTATATTCATTATATAATTAGTTGAAAATATATTTTCGGATGATTTTCAGGGCAAGCTTGATTTTAATTTGGACAGAGTTTTAAAATCTGCTTCCATGGAGGATAAAACAGTAATCCTAACAACATTAAATGAAGCATGGGCAGAACCTCACTACATTTTACTGAATTTTACTAGTGGTCCCAAATTAAGTTTTTTTTTTTTTTTTTTTTGATCAAAAACAGCTAATACCAACAACATTAAATGAAGCATGGGCAGAACCTCACTAAACAATTTTAACTGAATTTTTACTAGTGGTCCAAATTAAGATTTTTTTATTTTTTTTTTTTTCATTTCAAACGCTTAATTTGAAGTTGGGTTATAACTATTAAAAAAGAAAAAAAAAAAAAAGAAAAAACAATGAAAATGGAGTGTTCCAGAGATTGAAATAATAATAAAATTCGAATATAATTAAAAACTTCATTAAAAAATTAGTTTAGGCCTGTTCCTAGTCTTTTATAGCGTTGTTTTTTTTTTTTTTTTTTTTTTTCATTTCTAAACCTTAATTTGAATTTGGGTATAACTATAAAAAAGAAAAAAAAAAGAAAAAACATGAAATTGGAGTGTTCCAGAGATTGAATATAATAAAAATCGAAATATAATAAAACTCATTAAAATAATTAGTTTAGCCTGTTCCTAGTCTTTTCATAGCGTTGTCATTAGAGAGAATATCAAAAGTAGATACTCGTTCCACCATTCATTAGCCATTAGTTGACTTAGTCATTAGTTGACTTACTAAAACTCTACAAGTTTCATTATAAAAAAAAAAAGTTCAGAAAAAACAAGATCAAACGAACATGACGATGAACAACTTATCATCAGGAGCTCCTCTCGACATTGAAACCAAGCAGCCATCGTCGCCTTCTTCTTCTTCTTCTTCTTCCTCAACTCCATGGAGAAATCATCATATAACCACCGGCAGAATTTCAGTTCTACTTGTTTTAGTAGTTGGAATTTCATGCCTTGGTTTATACAAGTCGGCCAATCCTTTTGGATCTTTTCCTCTCTCTCTTCATTTTGCGTCTTCTTCACTTCCCATCACCAATAAATCCGTCTCTCCGGTGAGTTTAATTTCCTCTGTCCAATTATTCTTTTCTTTTGTTTCACTTGCTAATTGCTTGTGCTTTTTTACATCTATACAACTTGTTATTGATATGTGAATTTAATTTTTTTTTATATAAAAAATATTTAAAATTGCCTTTCCTGTAAATGTGAACGTTAATTTATAATAAGTTCATGTTTCACCTGCACACTTACTTATTCTAAATCATAATTTTCAAATTTAACCATTAACTCCTAAACTTTTACTTAATATTAAATTTCGTTTATATTTTAACTAATTTAGAAATTTATTTGAGTTTATGATTAATTTGTGCCATTTTTGACCAAAAAAATAGTATTTTTTTATTTTTAAAAATAATAAAAGTTATTTAAAAATCAATAATTAGAAAAAATAAAACATGTGGAAATTGAAAACCGTTTGCTTTTTCTGCTTTTTCTTCTTCATAAATTTTTTAACCAAAAATAAAACAAATATCACATTTCTTAACATTTTAACATTTTTTATATTATCAATTTTTAACTTTTTATTAGCATTTTATTACTTTAATAATTAGACTTTCAGAAAGAAATTTTAATTAATAAAAATGTATAAGTCGGTATAATGTCATTTTCTAGAAACTAAACACTCATTTTATTAAAAAAAAAAAAAAGAAGAATGACGAAAGCGTGAATTAGTAAAACATCATAAACAATCAAGATAAAGTATTAAAACAATAATTGCATTTCACGCTACATCAGGGTTGGTGTTTACTAGTATATGAGCCGGCAGCAGGCGTTTACTAGGTCACCATTATTGGGGAAATATAAGTAACCGCAATAGAACTGCTAAGGCGAGATTCAAGAACAACGAGAAGAAACGTTATCTTTCTATCTAAGAAAACAAATAGATAAATAAATAAAAGAGAAAATTATGATTTATATATTTTGTCATAATATTAATATTTCGCTGCATTTTAAAATACATAGTTTTTTCAGTATTTTTTGTCTATTATTATATACTTCCGTCAACTTTTTGTACTTTTTCATGAATAAATTATTATTTTATTCCTATATTTGTCAAAATTAACTATTTTTATCTTCATACTTACTAATTATTTTATCATTATATTTTGCAAAATTAATTAATATGTCATTGTATTTAACGGAAAAATGCAAAAAATTAAGAGAAGATGTGACAATGCAACAGAGGCAAAAACTAGGAATAAAACTATGTATTTTTAACTATGCATCATATATTTACAAAATACAATAATGAAATAGTATTTTTTTTCTAAACAAAAACATCGTATTTGAATGGATGCATCATCCAGTGAAACTTGCAAAGACCCATATTTATGGGTCCACTCATGAATCAAATTAATAAAAATAAATTTAAAAAAAAATGTTTCATGTTACTACTTTTTCTACTAAATGATTAGAAATACTCTTGTTTTAAAAAAAAAAAATATATTTTTCATTTGTTTGGTAAAACCATGTGCTGAGTTTAACAAATATAAATTTTTTTGAAAAGGTTGGCAATTTAAAGATTGTATTTAATTGAACGATAAAACTAATCTAATGTATAAAATAAAAACCTACTTATACAACAACTTGCTTATTAACTACTAAATTTTAAATTTATATTAGAATAAATCAAATATATCAATAATAACTGCAATTTTCTAATACAATTTTAAAATTTAATGATCATAATCTTTTTCTGTGTGTGTATATTACATTTATTATATTATATAATTAGTTGAAAAATATATTTTCCGATCATTTTCAGGGCAAGTTTGATACTGATTTGGAGAGAGTTCTAAAATCTGCTTCCATGAAGGATAAAACAGTAATCCTAACAACATTAAATGAAGCATGGGCAGAACCTCAGTCTATAATTGATATCTTCTTGGAGAGTTTTAGAATTGGGAACCGTACACATGGGCTTTTAAGTCATTTGGTAATAATATCATTAGACCAAAAGGCATATGCTCGTTGCTTAGCGTTACATCCATTCTGTTATATGCTAAACACTCAGGGCCTTAACTTTTCTAGAGAAGCATATTTCATGACCTCAAATTACTTGGAGATGATGTGGACCAGAATTGATTTTTTAGCTACTATTCTCCGAATGGGCTACAATTTCGTCTTCACGGTACACTCTTCTCTCTCTTTTTTTGGCTATTATGTTATTATATTTTAGATTAATCATCTCATAAATTCTAATTTTGAGTTTTATTTTTTTAATATCAGATTTTAATTTTGTGTTAATCCCATCTAAACCCCTGAGTTCAAGCTTGTATTTTTTTTTTTTAAAAAAAAAGTATAAATACCTAATATCAATTTTCTATTAAATAGAAAATTTTTCCTAATTAGGGTTGTGAGATATAATCCCAACACTTTTCATTTATTTTTCTAAATGTTGTTATACTTTTAAAAGAAATGGATTTGAAGGGAAATAGATGAAATACATTTTGAATGTGTTTAGGTATGAAATTTTTTTTTTATTATTCATTAGAAGTCCCAATGAGCTGGAATAATACGATGGACTACACAATAGGAGTAACACTCTCCTTAATTTACTAAATTGGTGAAAACTCTTATAGTCAGGAGGACTCAAACTCAAAACCTCTCAATCCTCACACTAATGAGAAAACCAACATAAATAAATAAACAAACCACAATATAAAATTTACATAATTCATTCTCACATTAGATAATTATAGTGATTTGGTTATATTTACATATATGTCATCATGCACTATATTCATAACAGTTTAACTCCATACGTTTCCAAACACTTATCACATCCCTTAACAAAACCATTGATTAGTTTAAGTTACAATAAATTACTGAGTCAATTAACTATACTACCTTTAATTTATTTAAATTACAATAAATTATTGAAAAATTGAAACAATCACTGTACAAAGAGTAAAAATGGAAAAACTAATTTATTATTTCTGAAATCTACAAATGGGAAGAGGAGTAAATCATTGTACTTATAGTACTTGCAAACCCATACCTAATTGCAATATAGTAATGTAGTTTGTCCCTCTCATTCTTCTCTAAATATTTACTATTTCAATCTTATTACATTGACGCCATCACCATTATTACTTTATGGTACCACCATAGAGTTCGCCTCCTCAAATTCAACCTCAATTAGGCATAAGGATTTATAAGGTTTTGACTCAAATCCTAATAAGTCTCCACCATGACTGAAGATTGGGTGTCTTCAATTATCATCGAACTTCTATACTTGAGTTTAACATGAACATACCATTTCCACACTTTTAATTATTGTATAGGCTAGTGTTATAAATATAAGAATTCGTCGTTTTTGGTCAGGACGCTGATGTAATGTGGCTTCGAGATCCATTTCCACACTTTTACAGAGATGCAGACTTCCAGATAGCTTGTGACCATTATTTAGGTAACCCTTCCGACCGAAATAATCAGCCAAATGGTGGATTTAACTATGTCAAATCGAATCCTCGAACGATTAAATTTTACGAGTTTTGGTACTCCTCTAGAAAATCTTATCCAGGGTTGCATGATCAAGATGTTTTGAATAAGATCAAACATGATCATTTCATTGACGAAATTGGACTACAAATAAGATTTTTGGACACAGCTTATTTTGGTGGATTTTGTGAGCCCAGCAAAGATTTTAACTTGGTATGCACAATGCATGCAAATTGTTGTTTTGGTTTGGAAAGTAAAGTTCATGATCTTAGAATTGTGCTTCAAGATTGGAGAAGATTTATGTTGGCCTCTTCAAATTTAAGTTTATCTTCACCATTCTATTGGAGAGCTCCAAACAAATGCAGGTAAATTTTTTAATTATAATAATTAACAACATTAAAAAATTATTAAACCTTTTATTTTAATTAGCTTAAAATAGCTAAATCTTTTTTTTTTTATTTTAAAATATATTTACTATCAAAACATATCAAATCAATTTTTATTTTTAAACAAACATTGAGTTTAATTGACCAAAATTAAAAATTATCTTAATTAAACGATGAAATGATTTAGTCCTAAATAAAATAATTTTTTCCTCAATTTTCTCAAACTAAAAATCTTTTTTATTTCAATTCAAACTGAGTTGGGTTGTTTAATTTGATTCAGCTTTACCTCTACTCTATGTATAGATTTTAATTTCTAATATTATCATTTGTCTTGTCAATACTTATTTATTTTGTAATTTCAACGAATTTTGAAAGTGTGTTTATCAGAAAAACTTTATTTATTTATTTATTTATCTTCAGAACTTTTTTCCCTCTAAAAACATAATATGACAATAAATAGTTGTAGATTAATCTATAAATCTTAGACATAGTTTTTTATTGTGAATTTGTAAATTTTATTTTTTATTATATGTTATGGATTAATCTGTAATTCAACAGTTCCATTATTGAGACACAAATAGTTTTATTTTTTCATTTTATTATTTCTAAAATTGTCCATTCATACAAATTCAGTCTCAAATCTTTCCATCCTCCCAAATTGCCGGAGAGTAATTGAACAACGCAATAACCATCCTCTCACTGCAAGGACAATTGGATGACGGTAAGAAACCTGATGTTCCTTAAAACAATAACATCCATTGGCAAATTTTATTTTATTTTTCGTTACATAGTTCTTGCAAATAGAAAGATAAAAAAAATTCCATTTCTTTTTGAAAATAATAATAATAATGTGATAGAAATATATAAAGTTGTACTGAATTCATGTATTGAAACTTGAAATTTTAAATTGTTTTATGCATTTGAAATTTAGGATTTTTAATATTAGAAATTTAAATCAAATTATTCTCCCTTTATCATATAACTCTTTTTTTTTTTTTAAGAACTTTGTCACATGACTTTTGTTTTTGTTTGACCCCAATGACTTGTACACAAATTGAGAAATTTTAATTAATGTAGTAAACTTATAATTTTTTATTTATCTTTTCCTAATATACCCTTATGTTAATATTTGTTAATTCTCAAAATTGAGAATTGAGAGCATTTTTTCATTCTAAATCTCTTTAATACCTTATCAATGTAAGTTCTTTGAGATAATCCTAACAGTCCTTGTGATTTATAACAGAATAATCTCTATTCCAATCACAAAGGATGCATCTCCCATATCTTTCATTTCAAAATTCTTAGAGAGAAAACCCTTTACATCATGCAACAACCCAACATCATAACAGATAATCTCTATTTCAATCAACAGAAGGATGCAGGATGCATCTCCCATATCTTTCATTTCAAAATTCTTAGAGAGAAAACCCTTTACATCATGCAACAACCCAACATCATTCGCAGCAAGAAGAATGTCATCGACATATAGGACTAACATAATGAGCTTCATATAAATACACCGATCAACAGTGTTTTCTATAAAACCATATAAAGTGATGATATTATTAAACTTAAGATACCATTTACGGAAAGTTTGCTTCAGTCCATATATTGACTTCTTTAACTTACACACCAAGTTTTCCTTTTCTGTGACCACAAATCCCTCTGGTTAGTCCACATATACTTGCTCCTCTAAGTCACCATTAAGAAAGGCTGTCTTTACATCCATTTGGTGAAGCTCAAGATCATAATGAGCCACCAAAGCCAAAATAAGCAAAATATTCTTAAAAAGAGTCCTTTTTTAGAAACTAGGAGAAAAAGGTCCTATTTAATAATAATCAATGTCATCCTTCTGAGTGTAACCTTTAGCAACAAGTTTGACCTTATATCTTTCAATGTTGCCCTTAGAGTCCCATTTGGTCTTGAAAACCAATTTACAACCAACTTGTTTTGACCTCTCAGGCAACTCGACCAAATCCCAAACTTGATTATCACTCATTGATTGGATTTCTTCCTTCATGGCATTAAACTACTTTTCAGAAGTATCACAATTCATGGCTTTCTGGAAAGAGACAAAGAGACTGGGTCCTTATCAATGCTCAATTCACATTCATGCTCAAGTGAATAAACCACATAATCACTAGAAATAGTTGGCCTTCTTTGCCTTTGTGACATCCGTAATGCTATTTCTTGTGAAACCACTTGATCATTCGTGAATTGTTCATTATTGCTGGTTCATCATTTATATGGTCATTTTGTGGGTTCGAAATGTTGTTTTGTTGTTCAACCATGTTGTTAAACCGTGATACAACAATTGGAACAACAACCGAAGAAGAGACATTAGGAAAATCCATCTGAGTTGGATTTTCAATCTGAATCTCGAGTTGGATTTTCAATCTGAATCTCTTGCACATTCACCTTATGTGGTTCACTGCTCCCACTAATTTGGCCATTTTCAATAACCGAGCATTACCAGACTCAACAAATCTCATATTATGGTTAGGACAATAAAATCTGTACCCTTTTGACTTGTCAGGATATCCTAAGAAAAATCCACTAACTGTTCTAGCATAAAGCTTCTTTTCATATGGATTATATATCCTTACTTCCACTAGGCAACCTCAAACATGAAGATGCCCAAATCTATTGTTCATAGAATTTGTTTGATAAAAATAGATAATAAGCGGAAGCGTACCTTGATCCATAACAGCAGATCTATATTATGGGTTACCTTGTTGCGGCAATTCGATTCTCACCGTAACAACAAATCTAATCTATGTTTCTTTCCTCTGGCCCTTTTGTCCGTAAGTTTTTCTCTCAATGGTCAGAGAATAATAAACAGCTTCTACGGTTTATTTTATGAGATCAACAGCTACAGGAGTTTCTTTTATGAGCTCTCTAAAACAAGCTATCACCGTATGTGTTTGAAGCAGCCGTCACACTCTCTATTTTGTTTTCTTTTCTATATTCTGTGTTAACCGTAAACTGTTGATCCCTTTATCTTTTATAAGGCAAAGGAAGAGTATTAAAACTCTAACTAGCTCTTATCCATTAAGCCCAATAACCATCATCTTGGGCCACTTTAATTAGAACCAGTCATTTAATCACATGGGCCACATATAGATTATTAAATAATCTAACATGTAGAGTCTATTTCTAAAACTCAATCATCTAAGTAATAAATCAAACTATATAGTTAAATATTTGCCAAACACTAGTGCTTACAAACAAAATGACCCAATTTTTTATGTCTGACGACTTGACCTGCAAACCCACTATAGTGCTTACAAATGTGAATTACCATTAGTCGGTGCTTGAACCAATTTTAATAATCTGTTGCACTTTAATCCCCTTTTTTTTATTAGGTTCTGTTTTACAAACTTTGAACTTTCTAATCTATTAGTAATAATTTGTTTACTAAACTAATCTAATCTATACATTAAAGAAGTAGTACTATCTCATTTGAGACAATATGATGCACTACCTTAGAAATCGCAAGGAGTTCTGCAGCTACTAACTTTTTAGGACGATTGTTATTGGGTTCTTGAGATATAATTCTGGTTTGTTCTAGAGGAGAGAAAGGTTCTTCAATCCATTTATGGGTAGAATGAAGAGTGAAACCAGTAAAAGGAACTTTGAGAAGCTGACCAATCTTTATAGGTTTTAACACAGACTTTTTACCATTGACATAGCTAAGTAGAATGAGGGGTTTATGTGAAGTCAAAGGTTGAAGATTGGCATAGAAATCTTTGACTATCATCTCATGTGTGGGACCATCAGAGGTAATCAAATGAAGCCTCCTTGTTTTCTAAAGGGTTCTAAGAATCCATGTCGGATGAAGTGCTCAACATCATCTACAAGACAACCGGGGTGAACAGAACGTTTAGCAAAGGCCCTAAATGCTTCAAAATTTCTGGTTATGATAGGGAAGTCAAAATTAGAAAAGGGAAGAGAAGAGGAGGTACTACTAGTGCCCTTACGTTTTGGAACCATAGTTTAAGAGTTCTAAGGCGAAAGAAAAAGGGATTAACAAAAGCCCAAGACAAATGAAACCAATGTATTATAGAAGAGCCCATCCACCAGCATCTAACAATACATCAAATGCCAATACAATATAGTTCCATATACAACACAAATAGTCACAACCAAACAATAGCAACAGTCACAATGATAATCAATAATCAGCAGGTATTGTAAATAATAAAAGTTGCAGCAGAGATACCAGGCAAAAATGGGTTTAACAAAGGAAGAAAAATCCGTTAAACAACTAAAACGAAAAAAAAAAAAAAAGGCCAGCCAAGAACGGAGATCAGGACAAAACAAATACTAATAAATAATTTTCAAGCAAAACTCTACTTTAACGTTACCCAAAAACAACAACTTAAAATCAGTAGAGCAAATGAATATTTCAGTTTTGAGAATTAAATTTTAATGGAATTGAAAAAACCCCAAAAAGAATATTGGAGTTCCAATTTTTTGAGAGCACAACCTTAATGGCAATGAACCTTTGCTGCAGAAATTCATATTTAGATATAAAACAAATGATAATATAAACTAAGTTCCAAGTAAGAAAGAAATTCATATTTAGATATAAAACAAATGATAATATAAACTAAGTTCCAAGTAAGAATCATCTATAAATTCAGAAGTAAAATTTTAAGCAATAATAATGTCAAATATTTCATTAGTTGATTAATAATTAATAATATTAGAAATAAAGTCAGGTTCCTTCCTTCTATTTTTCATAAGGCCAAGACGGGGCTCTTCTCTTACCTTCCATTTGACAAGTATTACTATTAAAATCAAGGTATTCATTTCCAGCAATATAGAGCATAAAAATCAAGTTTCAGAGTGTAAGAGAGCAACAGACAACAAACTCGGGTTTAATTCATAAAATGCAGAAAAGGTAGGAAAAATACAGCAACAATATAACTCAGAAATGAATAAAGGAGAGAATCTGAATTTTTTTTAATCAAATTAGATAATCAAAAAACATTTATGTTAAAGAAAAACCAATGCCAAAACGAAAGAACTATCCAGTAGAATAAGGAGAAAAAAATTAAAGATAACGCTATACCTGAAGAAGAGGCATAAAAGCAGAAACAGAGTGGAGAGAAAGAGCTATGGTGGAAAGATAGAGCACCAAATCTTGGCTTGCTGAAATTCGATAAAATACATAGGTTTTCGAGTAGAAATTGGATTAGGTTTTAGGAAGGGAGACAGAAGGCGTTGATGGAGAAAACGATTGAAGAAAGTTAGAACACGACAAGGGAAAGACAATCAATTTTCTATAATGCACATTTTTCTTTTCTTTTTTTCATATCAATCAGTCCCATGTTGATGTAAATAAAACGCCTATGTCTATATATCATATCGCTATGCAAATATTAATGAAAAAAAATTTTCGTATTACTTGTTGATTTTCATACTGTGTGTGTATTTAAATATTTAATACAATTACGAACGCAATCGTACCACGTGTTGCGCATGTTGGTAATCCACGTTTCACACCCCTCAATTGTTATTACATGGAACACACTAAGAGCCAATACATAAGATTTGATTGAGGGATAAGTTTGTTTACGCGTTAATTAATTAGAAGCGAAAAATGCAATGCCACAAAAATATCATATTGCACTCAGAATGGAACGCGTAGACCCTTATTATATATGATCAACTGCAGGCAAGCAACATCTACACGTGGACAAATACGTGTCCCTATTTTCTGGTCCCAGAGATCTCCCGAAGTTTTTTAAATCAAGACTAAATTAAGAAAATCTTCAAAATCAAATATGAAATTACCAGCAACCCCTTTCCATGTCCCATTTGATACCGTTTTGTCTATCCAGAAAAATAAAAAATAAAAACGTGGGTTGAGCATTTATATTTTTTAATTAGAAATGTTTCCTTCTTTCTTATATTTTATTATGACAGTCACGAGGACGTGTGCTTTTTATTTGTTTATAATATGTTTTTTCTTATATTAAATTGTAAAATTATTCAAAGATCCAATAATCTATATTAAAATTTTTTATTTATCATTTTAAGTTATTTTTAAATTCATTCATAATTTTAGATGACTTGTAAAACTAATAGAAACTGAAAATTAACTTCATTGAGTATAAGGGCTGCTCTGCCCCTAATTAAAAAATAAATTATTTTAGTTTGTCATATAATTAAGTAAAATTATTTTTTTGGGTTTCAATAAAATTGAAAATTAAAGTTGAATTATTCAAGTGATGAAAATTTTAAGTTGCAAAATCTCATTTCATTATCATTATTTTTTTGAAGAAAGCATAACAACTTTTATGAATATTGGAAAATTCAGTAACAAACAGCAATTTTAGCTGTTAGCTATTAAGCATCTTAACTATTTCAGATGCTAAAAATTCAACTTTAAATTACTTTTCTATTCCACTTTAAGTAGCAGGTGTCATTATACGGATCAAATAATAAATATTCTTCTTTAGACGGTCCACGTGAGATTAGGCGAGCTTGACTTGTCTTCGTTTTCTCAATCTATTGCTGTTGTTAGCTCTTTTATAACACATTAAAATATAAAAATAATATTCACACAATTTATTTATACATCCTCAGATATATCTTTAATGGTAAATGTCGAGTATTTTTATACCATTTTGTTGGTGGAGTTCGGTACACTTTGTCACGATCATGTTCACGGATCAGACAAGCGTTAAGGTTCAAATAAACTTAAAGCCACCGAACCTGTTGTAAGCTTAAACTATAAAATTTAATTATATCAATGTCTGTTTCAAATATTTAACTCATATTATCATGCACCATAAATCTCATAATTTTATTATTCTTTAGCCCAAATATAACATCTTAAATAATTTATAGCCCAAGCCCAAATATAATCCAATATATATATAATATAGGCTAACAGATTCAAGCATTTTCATAAATGATTAATTAAACATCCTCATCAGTTTACTGATTTTATTCCTACAACTGCGGAATTCAATATCAAACAGAATAATTAGATTTTGTAAACTCACAATTACACTTAAATATTTTCTTTTCTAGCTTTGCGGTGAAGGAAACAAAGCTTTAACTAGGGTTTATGAGAGTCTACTTCCTAGTAAGTTAAACAAAACATGTGAGTTTTATAAAGAATAATAATTATTGTACCCCACACGCATTCACACAAATGTGTAAATAATTAAATCTAATCATCCGACTAGTTATATGATCACGGAGACAGTCACACAAATGGCATCGCAACAATACTCATAAATATTTACACCTTCACATAATCACATCACGTGGAAATTGGTCTGTGGCATCATCGAAACCCTTGATGAGCCGTCCTCCCACATCTATCCTCTCATAACGTGTGCACTAAGGAGCCGATTCCCCTATACATGGCCGATCAGTCTAATCCTCACTTGACCAGCCATCTCATTGTTTTTCCATTCTCTCTTTTCTTTTCCAAACCAATTGGAGGCCACACTGTGCTTTTCCATATTATCCATATCATATTATCAGGTGCACACAGGCACCAATCTCCCCATACCTGGTCGACGGTCAAATTCCATATTTTCATCATTTCCAAGACCGTCCTCACAAACCCATGGTGAGCCACTTCATCCCAACTCCACACAAACAAAGTATAACATTATCACAACACAATTAATCAAACATTATAATTAAATGCAAGCATGATAAACAATTAAATATCATGATGCAATTGCACAACTAGACATTCATATTTAATTACAATTAAATAAAGGAGTAGTAATTAACAATATATTATAATAATTGACAATTAAATATCATGATGCAATTGCACAACTAGACATTCATATTTAATTACAATTAAATAAAGGAGTAGTAATTAACAATATATTATAATAATTGACCTTGGAAAATAAACAAATAATTAAATAATAAAATAATTAAAGAACTTTATTTATTATATATCAAGTTAAAGGATTAATATGAGTAAATCTATTAACTTATTTATTAATTATGATTAGCCTAAATTCAGTCAAAATTTTGGCAAAACCTCCCTAAAGTTTAACTAAACCACAATTTAACAATAAAATATCAAAGCCCATCTATCGGACAATTCACATCAACTCATCCTATCCGCCATAACCATATTCAATAATCATTCGTTTACTCAATTCATACAGTCCATCCATCGGGTAATCAATCCAACCAATCTATCCACTTCAGACTACCTGTATTATCCACCACACTCACATATATACACTTAATAATTTCAAATCAATTAATTAACAATTTATATTAACCTACGAGCATGTTCCAATGCTATTTTTAATTATTCTATAACTAGTTACTTGTCTAAACCTTAAATTATAACACCTCCTAACTTTTTTTTTAATTAAAATTCCTAAATTAACTTACATAAATATTAGTTAGGAATTCTTATTTCTATATCAAACCTTCTAGTCATAACTATTGTTCATGAAATATATTTAACAATATTCAAAATTAAATTGCATCTTACAATATGCCACTAACTAAAATATTCAAAATTAAATTGCATCTTACAATATGCCACTAACTAATTCCTAGCAAGAATTATATCTGATTAATTATTTATTCGAATTCAATTTAATTTAATCAAATAATAATTTTAAATTTAGAATTTGTACTAAAAATGGGGAATTGGTCTTAGCATGTATCAATTGAGAATCTGGCGACGATTCCATGATCAACGCAAAGAGAAGAGGATTCTGCCTCTTCAGACCCGCTGAAGTGTTGCCGGCCGGTAGTCGGACGTCGCCGCCGTCGCCATCCATGGTGGCTGGGAGATCACACCTAGTCGGCCACTTCACGAGGCTTGCACCATTCTGCTCGAAATTTCATGGGGAACTTAGATTTGATGTCCGTTCGTCGAGTCAGTGGCCAGTTTGGCCGGAACGAGCGTTGACGGCTGCTTGGTACGCCATCAATGGTGGTTTCACCATTTGAGTCCTATCGTTGGAACTGAAGGGGGGGAAAATGTTTAGGTGACCAAGAGGAGTCGATTGGAGGTCTCCTTGTTGACTGCCTTTGCTGATAAAGGCGAGAATCACCGAAAAATGTTACCGCACGGTGTTGCACGAGGTCTTGTCTCGACCCTTCTCGTTTCAGGAACCATTTCCACGAAGCAAAGCCACAGATGCTTTCCTCTTGATGTGCTCTCTGATTTAATGTCAAGGCTCACTGGATTTGGTGGCCGAAGGCCAGAGATTGGAGGAGAGGCTGAGAAGAACGCACAGGAGAAGAAGAAGAAGAAGAAGAGAAAAAGAAAGAAGAAAGGCGGTTCTAGAGAATTCTGGGCCGTTCCGGTTCGATTCGAATCGGTTTGGTCCAAATTAGCGATTCGACTCGGTTTCCACTTGGTTTATGGGTTTTTCACTTGGTTTTCGAAATTTTAAGCTAATTAACGGGTCTGATTTAACAACAATTAAATATTTTATTGTATAATCTCATTGGTCGAATTTAAAATTTAGTTTTTAAATAAAAATTTTACGAAATTAAATTTTTGAGTCGTTTCATCTACCATGGAGTTTTGTTCTGTTTCGTGTTTCTTCATGTTAAAGAGTTTTAAATGTGTTTGCATTTTTTCCTGATTTTATAAATATAAGGTGGATTTGATCTTTTTTATTACGTATTTCAGATCTTTAAGTGCAGATAATATTTTCTTTTGTAATGACCAATTGAGCTTTATAATATGGTGTATTCATCATTTGGTAATTTCAACTCTTTTTTAACATATCAAATATAATAAATTTAAAATGAGTACAGTTGTAGAGAAATTTTTTTACCCAAATTAATAAAAGATCAATATATGTTAAATTATTATAGCAGTGGCAAGGCGGTAGTTTTAATGAAATTTAAGGGGATATAATTTTGGTTTCAGCCAATACGAGTGGAACGCTAATCTGTAAGATGACATTATAAAATTAGTATAATTTTAGCAAAGAGACGCCTACCAGATTAGACTAAGACCAAACAATTTTATATCAAATATAAGAAAGAGGCTCGCAATTCTCAATCATCTCTCAGCCATCCCTCTTTTTATATCTCAGTCAAGAGTTTCGTATTTAACTCTAGATCCAATTATTCGCAAATCTTTGCTTATTTTTGTTTGATTGTTCCCTGAGCTGTGAAGAAGATGGAAGCAGCAGCGTCAGGATCTGTTCTTCGATCCGCGATTGGGATTTGCAGACCTACAAGTTCTGTTGGGAGACCACTGTTCTTGGCCGCCAGTCCTCCCGATTCTCTGCGATTTTCTATTTCATATCACTTCCCAGTTAAGGTACGTTGGATTGGGTTTAGGGTTTTGCTATAATTTTTCTTTTCGAGTCAAATTTATCTGCGTTAATCTCTCATCGCGTGATGGGTTTCGCTCTTTTGTTTCTTGAAATATTAGATTCTATATTTGTGTTTTGGAAATGGTAGATGATAAATATTTGGATATTGTATGCTGGAAAGGTGTTTGATAAATTTTCTCTTTTTTTTTTTTAATGAACAGCAGCATTCGTATTCAGTTTCATATGGAAAGTCAGGGAGAAACAAGAGAGTGGGTTTTGGAAGTAGGAGATGTACGGTAGTGAAGGCATCATCCTCATCTTCATCCTCACCATCTTCGGATTCTGGTGGGTCTCTAGCTCCAATAGCCCCACTTCAGATGGAGTCTCCAATAGGACAGTTCTTGTCTCAAATCTTGATGAGTCACCCACATCTTGTACCAGCAGCAGTTGAGCAACAGCTTGAACAACTTCAAACTGACCGTGATGCAGATAAAGAGAAGGAAGAACCTTCTGTTACTGGCACTGACTTGGTATTATATAGGTTAGTTGCATATTTTTTGTAGCATAACTGTGGTGTGTGGTTGATATATTTCATGTCAAGAATCTAACTGTGGCTTTTTTTCCCTGAAATTTTAATAGGAGAATTGCGGAGGTGAAGGCTAATGAAAGGAAAAAGGCTTTAGAAGAGATTTTATATGCCTTGGTTGTGCAGAAATTTATGGATGCCAATGTTTCTTTGACACCCACAATAGCCCCCTCTTCTGCCGACGAATCTGACCGGGTGGATACATGGCCTGGCCAAGATGAGAAACTTAAGCAACTTCACTCTCCTGAAGCATATGAGATGATTCAGAATCACCTTGCTCTCATTTTGGGAAACAAGATCGGAGATTCTACTACAGTAGCACAAATAAGCAAACTAAGAGTTGGACAGGTCTATGCAGCATCTGTGATGTATGGGTACTTCCTCAAGCGTGTTGATCAGAGGTTTCAGCTTGAGAAGTCAATGAAAATCCTTCCAAATGTAATGGATGAGGAAGATGATAATTTGCAACAAGCTGCAATGCAGGATATGAAATCTAGTGGTGGAGAGGATGCCTTTGAAGCTATGTCGTCCCATCCAGAAGGCTTGTCAGCTGGTGGTATTAGTCCTGGGGGTTTTGGCCATGGCGTAAGGGCCTCTCGACTTCGAAGTTATGTTATGTCCTTTGATGGAGAGACACTCCAAAGATATGCAACAATAAGATCCAAAGAGGCAGTTAGCATTATTGAGAAGCATACAGAGGCCTTGTTTGGAAGACCTGAAATCGTAATAACACCTCAAGGGACTGTTGATTCTTCCAAGGATGAACTGATGAAGATCAGCTTTGGTGGACTGAAGAGACTTGTTTTGGAGGCTGTGACTTTTGGTTCTTTCCTATGGGATGTTGAGAGCTATGTGGACTCAAGGTACCATTTTGTGATGAACTGAGCAATGCAAATTTGTTCCAGACGTGCAACTAACCAAATTCAAATGGAGTAAATTAGAGTAAAATTAGGCTTTCACATCTTATAGGAATTGCAGTGATACCTCTGTATATAGTTTATGTGATGTATTTTCTGGTTTATGCACTGTGACTTGGGGCGGGCTATGTGAAATTCGTTTCTCTATTATATCTATGTCTACTGATCAGAAATCAGAAATTGGGAGGAAGAAAACGCGCTCATCCTTGTATCACAGTTGTAGAAAATCGTTAGCTGCAGAAGATTTGGTCATAAGTTCCATTTGACATATATTCATTGAATGTTTGAAAGAATATTGTATTATCTTTTCTTTCTTTTCTTAATCATTGTTACTGGTATTTTTACTTTTTGAGAATGAAAGCGAAAAAATATAATGAGAGCTCAGAAGAGCAGAATTTCCTTGATCCAAGGGTGATCCCCATTTTAATCATTAAGAGACAACTTAGGTGAAGATCGGCAGCAGATTGATTAGCCTGCCTACGCACATGAAACTAAGTAAAAGGCAGAATATGAGATTTGAGTTCATAAACATCCAAAATTGGAAGATCTTGACTTGTTTTCATGTGGCATTTTTATACTGTCACTTTATGCAAACAGAGGTAAACGCTAGCTTGCCACAAAAAGTCCAAGCACAGGTAGCTATGTCAACTCATCATTTATCTGATTCTATTTGGAGCCTGTTGCCATTGCAATTGTCTGCAATCCAATCTCATAAGAGCCAAAATTGCGTGTCAAGTTTCATTGTGCCTGCTGCTGGTTTTGCCAAACCTGAAGGTATATTCATGATCTTGATGCTCATAAATTATCTACAAGGAATACCAATAACCTGATGATGTGAGATGCATTTATGCTGGAAATAAAGCACATTTCTAGAATACCATATTGTCATCATAAATAGATTTCCTGCTTCAAGTGTTGCAGACTGCAAAAACCCAGAAGACTACGTTGTAAAATTTGACGACAATGGATCTGGAATTTGCAAACAGAGGGGATCTGTAAAATTTGAGCAGAAGGAAAATTATTTTACATGCTCGTCAAAAAAACTGCTATGCTTTCTGGGCATTTTATGTTTCCAGATCCGTTTCCAGTTAAGGAGATTGGAATATTGTTGATTCTTGAAGTGCTGAATTTCCGATAATTGTTTTTGGTACTTGTTCTAAGGAGTATTCTGGACCATTTTTATCGTACCGAAAGTAAATTCAACTCCCATATCAGTTTGCTGCATTTAGAATTACATTTTTGAAATAATTCGAAGTTGTTTTAGCTGAATCGAACCCTAATTGATAACAAAAGGGCACATTCATCTTTACTAACTAAACTACACTCGTTGGATAATCTCCATATGCACAATGAAGCCTATGGAAGTGAGTTTTTAATCCCCATAAGAAGCATAACTTGTTTAACCAGTAAGGTTATTGAAAAGGTCAAATTAAGTTGAATTACAACTCAAGGTTTTTTTGATGTTTAAGCCACATAACTTTTAAGCTATATGCCTATGTTCATTACATGATTGTCTTGTGCAAAAAACATCATATTGTTTCAGTTTTGCAAAGTATGGTTCTTAAATCAACATAGCTAGTGTTCCACTGACTCAAATTACCTGTGTATGTGTCCATATATATATTTCAGCCCAATTGTTTGACCGTCGTCCCAAATGAAGAAAGACGATGCAGCTGCCCAGGAACTAGATCAAATGAGCCAGTTTTTTTTTGGGTATTAGGAGAGGGAGCTTCCGAATCTAGATGTATTGCCAATTCATACATATACTTATCACTAAGCTATACTTTTGACAGAGATTTTCGTAAGTGTACGAAATCGCAACAAGTAATATAAAATGAGAAAGTATCGTACCCACAGGGATTGTATATCAAGTATCAAAATTATGTTAACCTATTGTTATTTAAACGAATAAAATGAGAAAACAGTATCGCTACCCACAGGATTGTATATCAAGTGATCAATAATTATGTTTAACCTATTGTATTTAAACGACAATAAGCAGAGATTTGTTTATAGGAAAGTAAATTCAAAAATAAAACAGAAAGAGATAAGCCAACAAAGCTTTAGGTGAAAAGAAATTTCAAAGATTTTAAACTACCTAGGATTTGATTTTCACTTTATTCTATCCAATTTATTTTCTATTAGTCTGTTTATTCGATTTTTTAATTGTATCAAGTTAGGAGAAACAAATCTACAAAATCGCACTAACAACAGCTCTGCCCTGGTGTATTGTTAGCCTATTCTAATTTCTTAGTCTAATTACCTATCTCCAATAGTGCAATCAAACATCTAAATTAATCAATCTAAGTGACGCGAACCCAACGGAAAAATAAATTTCTGACTCATGGACAAGGGTTTGGAGGAAGAGATTCAAAGAATCTATAATAATTCCCCTCTGATGGCCACCAAGATTAAAGAAGCAAGAACACCAATAATAGAGTAAAAAGAATAAGATAAAACGCCAACAAAGAATTGATAAGCTCACTTACCTTGATTCTTGATGCCAATTAGAAGAAATGTGCAATCTCACACTCTCTTAAAAACATTAACACGCCTAATTCATGAAGAAGTAGTTCTTTAATTCATTGAAATAATCTGTTGAATAATTACAAAATAAACAAGCTATTATACTAATCTAAGAGGTCCAGGATCCTTTAGAGGATTTAGGTTAGCTAAAAGGAAGTAGGATTAGTAAATTCTAAACCAAACTATGGCAGTTGACTAACAAAATCATAACAATTAAGGATTTTGAGATCTAATCTCAAATCCACTAAAGACTTGACTAAATCTAAATCAAAATAAGGCTAATTATTCAAGGGGTGAGACGAAATATTGGAGGCCCAACCAATTAGCCCAAAGCAAAAACCAAAATAAACTAACTTAAAAACTTAATGCATTAGGTTAGGTGACAAGCACGGCCTGGGTGTGCTATTTGGCGCACGGAGTGTGCTTCAATGTAGCAGTGTCCCTCGTGTAGATCAGAGGGAAGGCACGGCCAGGGTGTGCCTTATTTTGGCACGCGGGGTGCTTCATAGTCAGGAGGGGAAGCACGGCGCTGGGTGTGCTATGGCAACGGGGTGTGCTTTTCAAAGGTATGTTTGTTTTTTCCTCAGCAAGTCAGGACGACGGGCACGGGCCATGGGGTTGTGCCATCTAGCACGGGCGTCCTGCTTAACCAATTCAGTTGTTCCCATCAACATGTGCTGTTTCTAAATTAATGTGCAGAAATTTAGGCTGTTCCTTCAGTTCTTTCATAGCACTTGTTGAAAGCAAGGGTCATGAGCTCTTCTTGCTTCCTTGAATGTTGTGTTTTAAGGGGACATTGGTGGCTTTCCATCCTTCCAACATCCTCTTATAGAAACTACTCCTCTTGCACTCAAATTGGTCCATTAGAAGTGCTAATGGTCATTGCCATTTGGTTGTCGGTCCTTGTTCCCCTTGAGCTCCATAGGGTGGTGGTGGTTAAGTGGATCCGTACCACTAAGTTTTATTGGTTGTTTTGTGAATTTTCATAACCTAAGTGTCCCCTCTCTCACTTATTGAAAATTCATAACCTAAGGTCATTAACTTATGAAAACCCCCCTTGAGTCAAACCATATAGCTTCCGCATCAAGTTATTATTCTCAAGTAATTCATTACCTTTTCATATAAAAAACCCTTCTCCCGATAGTGATTAATGAAATAATTCAATTCAGGGGAGAAACTCTGCTTGGAAGCTTTAAGTTCAATAACAAATTATAAAAAAAACAATGAAAAACAGATCTAATATTCTAAATTGGAATCGAATTAAGTTACATCAAATCCCTAGTATAAGAGTTTAGATAGACATAGTAATTAAATAAAACTCAGTAATATTTGAATAAATCTTCATAATCAGTGATGAACAATAAAGAGAAAAACAAGATTAAGAGTTTAGAGATAAAAACTAAGTAACAGCTATGTGGAATGGCTTCCTTGAATCTTGACACAGATCTTAGATGCTTGAAATTTTTGAGAGAGATTTTTGAGAGAAGATACGAGATACATATTGTAGAAAGATGACTAAATTTCCATGATATCCACAATGAATAGTCTCCTCTCTATTTCATACTAAGACTTCCTACCAGGTAGAATCTGGACTCCTGTTTACGAAAGCAGAATCCTATTTAGATACAAAATCTTCTTTAGGAGATCATGGACTGTTGTTTAGGTTTTGGATTTTTCCCTTAGTTAAGGACTCTTTTCTCGTCCTAATTATGTCTTAGATCTTGTTTAGGCACGTTTAGGACAAATATCCGAGGCGGGCCCATGTGAGAAAAAGTCCTAATTAGGTTTAGATCTTGTTTAGCACGTTTAGGAAAATATCCGAGGCGGGCCCATGTGAGAAAAAGATTTGCTTGCGTTTTTAGCTCAAGTCAGGTCTGCCTTTATAGCACAGGCATGCCATATAGCACGGCTTGGGCGTGCTCGAGTCTGGAACTCTGGATGGTTGAGCATGGGTCGTGCTATGCAACATGCTCAGATGAGTCTTTATGGCACGGGCGTGCGCCTTAGCACGGGTAAGGCGTGCTTGTCTCTGTCTTTCCAAGATAGATTTTGCCTAGCACGACTTGAGTTTCTTTTGGGCACGGGCGTGCCATGTAGCATGGGCTAGCCGTGCTCGCTCTTGACTCTCCACTTGATTTTCTTTAGTATTTAGCACGGGCGTGCTAAAGTGCATGGTCTGGGCTTGCTTTTTTGGCTTTGTAATACTCTTTTCTGTGCCAAAACCCTGCAAATTTTCTTCAGATCAAGTGGATTATGATTCAAGGAAGCTTTCAACAAAATTATACTTAAAATGAATTAAAAATAAATCAAAGTGATAAAATTTACTAAAATTACTTACAAACTTTGACTAAAAAATTACTAATTAAAAACCTATACTAAAAATGCCTTATAAACAACTGACACATCATCAACAAATTTTCCCAAACTATAAACCCATTCGGCTTTGTCCTCAAGCAACATAAAACTAAAATCTTTAAGAGAAAAAAATGAATATGACAGAAAACTAGCTTACCATGGTTGGAGGATAATTATTCCATGAACCTCGTATATAAGAATATTCCACAATCAGTCAATTATTGTGAATAAAATTAATTGTTTTCACATGTCTTACTTATATTTAAGGCGAAAAAATCTCAATTTTTTTTGATAAAACACGATTTCCTTACGATTTAAAAATAGTTATAAAGGATTTTCAAACAACTAAGTAAATATTCAACTTCGATGATACGATAGGATGATGCAATAATCTTACAAGAATATCCACACCTTTAAAAAAAGTCAACCTTTAAAAATAAGATAATTGATAGTATAAATTCAACATTCCCATAT